AACCGAAACACGAACCAAATCGAACCGCACCGAACCGTTTGGTTTTGCAGTTTTGAAATGGTTTTGGTTTTGAAACCAAACCGCAACATAGAAAACGGTTTGGTTTCGGTTTTGGCTTTTGAAAACCACACCGAAACCCAACTGCATCGCACATATTAATAAACATTTAATTAAATGTCCATATTATATTTCATGTTTTAATTGGTTGTTTGTTAGAATCCATACACTTAGTATAGGACTCAACCACACTAGAATATCATCATTCATCACTTTCTTTCGTTCATTAACTTGAAGGACCTTTGTTATTTTATACCATCTCACACACATATATGTACAAGGGTGGACTAATCTTGTTATCAAGAGTCGAACAATGATCTAATAAAGTCCACTCATTTGAAGCATGATATCACATATTCGAGTATCAAAGTTCATGTTTAATGAATTCAAATTTATTCAACTTGTTTTATGATAAACATTGTAAGGGACACCCTTTTGTTGCACAAACATGTTTTAATATCACAACTACATGCAACATGCTAATTGTTTAAATAACAAATGTCTTTTTCCTATTGCTATTGGGAAATGCTTATTAATATGTTAAATTGCAAATTGTACATTTTTTCTTAAAAACCAAACCGAAACCGTTTGAAACCACACCGAACCGAACCAAACGGTTTGGTTTCATTTCGGTTTTGGCTTCAAAACTGCAGCAAACTGAACCGCAAAAAATTTCGGTTTCGATTTCGATTTCACTCAAAACCGCATCGAACCAAACTGTGCCCACCCTTACTTGCCCTATAAGTAATACAAGTCACAAGGGGATTCGATTCCCCAAATCCTATTGGAATCCTACTTCTAAATTTACACAATCACACGTCTAAATTATATTAACTACTACATGCATGTATTTATTACACCATGGCTGCAATTGAAGATAAGATGAGAGAAAATCGATTAAGATGGTTTGGACATGTGAATCGAAAACCTATAGATGCTTCAATGAGAAAATGTGATTATGAGACAGAGACTCAAAGAAAAAGGAGGAGAGGAAGACCTAGGAAGAATTAGAAAGAGGGAAAAATTAGTATCCGGTCCCTAGTTACTAATGTTCATGGACTGAAACCTTATTAGTTTTTAGATTTTGATCTAAGTCCCTATCATTAATGTAATAATGAATTTACATGTTAGTTACATAAGTTTTTAAAATAAAAATTAATAATTAATTTAGAATTTTAATACTCACCCCTTTATTAAACTCCTAACTAATTTTCAATTAAAAACATTTCCGAAATAAATAAAAAAAATTAGAATAAGTTTGTACCCATTAGCTTTTTAAAAAATTGTTTTCAATTTTTTAATCTTATATGTACCCATTCATGTAACTTTTTCAAATTTTTAATCTTAAGATTAGGCCTAGCAATTCCTAACATGACCCGATAACCTGACACGACACGACACCAAATTAACAAGTGTTCCGGTTGACACGATAACGAATCGGGTCGTTATCGGGTAACCCGATAAACAACTGTTAAGATAACGGGTTGGTTCGGGTATACGCGTGGATAACACGATACACTTTAAGCAAAATATTAATTTTATAATTTTATAACCCTAAAAAAAACTATAATAATTATATATATATATTAATTTAACAATTTTATACCCCTAAAAACTATAATAATTATATATATTAAATTTAATTTAAAAAATTGGTGACCATTGGATCGGCTGAGATTTAATCTCAGCCGTCCATTGTCCATTAGGTTGGAGGCTACTATATTTTTATTGTTTTATTTCTTTTCATAATTATTTTGGTAAACTTCTCATAATTTGAATGGTTTTTAATGTTTGGTTTTTCTATACTTAGTTTATGCGGAAGAGAGTTCTGATGTGGAAAACATTACTGAAAACATCATCAACATAACTCTTGAAGGCAATAGATCAAGCCAAAGTTCCAATATAATTTCCTCATGACGATCCATGAAAATTGAGGATTTTGTAAAAGGAATAATATGCAAGCTTTGAGTTCCATTGGCAATGTTTAAATTTTTGAGAAAGGCTTCACAGCCTTGAAAATAAAAACTCTTTCATTTTGCATATAAGGGCACATTTAATATTTTGTAATAGACTAGTAGTGTATAGATGTTTTTTTATTAGGCTCTTATTTTCGAGTGTAGATGTAGTACTTAAACGACAAATGTGTTTTAATGTTTTGAAGCAATATTTATGTGGCAATGTGTGGTATGTGCATATTTAAGAAAAAAAATATTTTTCTTAAAGGGTCGGATCACTTTACCCGTTGGGTAAAGTGACCCAACCTGTTAAGGACCCGTTAAGATAACAGGTGTTACACGAAAACGACAAGAATACGACAGACACGATCCGTTTGCCAAGCCTACTTAAGATGTACTCATTCTTAAATATACCAATTTGTTATATGTAAAATGTACCTTTTTTTTATATAAAATCTATTCAATTTTTTTCTAATTTTTTGGTTAATTTTGATGAATGTACCAATGTTTACACACACACACACACACACACAATAGTATATTTATATTTTAATATTTTTAATCCCACAAATTATGGGTTTTTATGTAAAATCTCATTAATATAAACAACTATAAATTTCAATTTTTAATTTAAAAAATATAGTAACATACATAAAATAAATTATCATATTAATTTCAGGGACTTCGATCAAAAATTGAAAACCAACAAGGTTTCAGTCAAAGAATTTTCATAGCTAGAGACCGCATCCAAAGTCTCTCTAGAAAGAGACCTTAAGAAAAATCCTGGAGTACTTGGAGCTTAGGGAAAACTTGGCACAAAACCGAGCGTAGTGGCGTTTTAGGATTCATACATTCGACTCCACTTAGTGGGGTTAGGCTTTGTTGTGTTGTTATCATTCAATTGTCAGATACAATTAATATAAATATAATATTAATTACAATCACCAATTGATTATCAAGATGATGATTATATTAGTTTTTTATTTAGACCCAGTCAATGGCATAACCCCCCCCAACTATTTACAACTTTAAATATAAGAGTAATACTGTTCGCGGCAAGAATTTCCGTCGGGGATGATTTCCTGGCCGACGAGCACACAGCTCCCCTGGGAGGTTGGCGCCGGTTGAGGGCTGCTGTCGGGCTTCTGCTTTCCTGTCGGGCTTTGTCAGGCAAGTCTCGTCGGGCAAGACTCGTCGGGCAAAACTCTTCGGGCAAGGCTGAAAGAGAAGGACATCGTTAACTTTGAGAGGTGCCTTTGTGGGGCCTTAGGTGTAGGCCTTGAGGCTCACAATCAAGGTTAACATTTTGGTGCTCAGGCGTGCCACTGCCATCTTCATTATGGCAGATGTCGAATAGATGTCAAGTTTTAGTTGTGAATATGCATATGCCCGAGAAACCGTGTTAGATATAACAGGTGCCTTTGTGGGGCCTTAGGTATAGGCCTTGAGGCTTCCTGTCAAACTAAACCAGTGCTTGAGCATATTATATTTGGTCTTTGTGGTTGTCGGGGTCTTATAACTATTATATTTCTGATTATCCGAGTTTGAGAGGTAGAGCGAACCCAAATAGGTGCCTTTGTGGGGCCTTAGGTGTAGGCCTTGAGGCTTCCCATTAGAGTCCGTTCTTATACTCAAACCATCTAGACCGCAGAATAGAATAAACCCAAATAAGTGCCTTTGTGGGGCCTTAGGTATAGGCCTTGAGGCTTCCTATCAGAATCCATTCTATACTTAAGCGTTCTATAATAATCATGATATAATAGAAATAAAACCAAAAGGTAGGTCGATTACTTGCGCCCCAAGTAACTTCGGACTTCTCGTTTATCAAGGATTGTCGTGGATGGGTTAAGTCCACATAAAGTTCTTTTTTATGCCTTGAGGCCAAGGACTTTTAAACTAATCAGATTTACATGCCTGAGGACTTAGGACTTGGATTTGATTTAAACACTGAAGATATATTCAAATCGGATCCAAGTACTGAGAACGCTTTGTCATTGTGATTTTACTAGAAACAACTTGCATATAACTGGAAATATACAACATATTGCTAGACTTTAAAGAAAGAGAAGACAAAGACAGAGCAAAGCAGGTCGGGCAAGATTAAACCTTATCAATTAAGGCTGATCGTCTTGCAGGTCCCTATCTTTGTAGTTCTGTCAAAGGTCTGAAAGCTTAGAGGGGGAGAGGGGAAAGGAGAATACAAAGGGTGAATCGATACTACAACTTGTTCGAACAAGGTAGCAGAGCTATTACAGGGGTTGGGAGAAAAGATTATCCCGCGGGGGATGAAGGCTTGGGCTGACTACAGCTTCGTTTTGAAAGGAAAATCTGGCTTTTTGAGCAGAGTTTGTGCTTTTGTTTGTTTGATTGAGTGTCTTTATTCCTGTCTTCTCTTCCTCCTTTTATAGACGACTCGATTTGGCTCCTGTAGCGACAGCTTTGCCCGAATGCGGTCTGAGGGTGATGACTCATCAGCTTTATTACATGTAATGCCACCATAAAGTACTTTATGGGCTGTGCAGTCTGATCAGTCTACACCACTTGGTCCTTGGGTAGGTAGGCAAGTGGCCCTTATGAATTGTATCAAGTCAGAAAAGGCCCTTTCCTGCTTTCCCAAGTTTCGGCCGGGCCTTGATCTTCTATTCCTCCAGGCCTCCTTTTGGGCCGACTCCATCCTTGGGCCAAAAATCAATTTTTAATCCAAACAAATACTATTCTTACTACATATTTGTACCATCTTTCTAATAAATGTGGGGATCACCAATATATGTCATTAACTAAAATTAACCAATAAAAACATACATAAACCAATAAGAAGAGAGTTAAAGGCATACGATAAATTATAAGTAAATTGTGTGCAAACTAGTTGTGGAGGGTAAAATAGGTATGAAAAGTTCACTCCGATTTTTTGAAACCCTAAATTACACTATAAGAATTGGGCTAAAATCAACTTTTTTATTACATTAAATAGGACGATGCTTTACCGCAATGCCGGAAGCAATGAAGCTTATGCAACGTGATGCATGTTCTATCTCTATTAATCTACTTTGCCACTAACAATTAACAATTTAACTTACTAACGTAATCGTTTAAAAAAAATTATATTATATATAAGCATTGTAGCTATCTTATATGAATCAAAATCACAATTTTGGGCCCACTGTGGACGGCCTACGATTTAAAACAAGGACTTAGCGAAGTATATAAGGTCTGTCAAATTCTATTATTTTTATTCACTGGTTTTATCAAGACAATCTCTCTCACTATCTCTCTGTTATATCTCTCAAGAATCTCATGACAGATTCGTTAGTTGCTAGGTAAGTATGTAGTCTCTGTTAATTATGTATCGGCTGTAGTCTACTTGTTTATATTCATACATTATACATTTTTATTTATTTCTGGATTTGATGATCTTGGTATGTATAGAATGATCAAGAAGGTGGAAGAGGAGGACCTTGTGTCTGGGACATTCACATGGAGAATTGACAACTTCTCTAAGTTAAAAAAGTACAAGCATTTCTCTGACGTTTTCGTTATTGGTGGCTATAAATGGTACACTTGGGTACTTGAACTTATAAGCTTAGTTGTATGTATAATTGGTTGATGGGTTTAGGGTTAATTGGTTTGATCTGCAGGCGGATGTTTATATATCCAAAGGGTGACAACGTCGATTACTTGTCCGTGTTTTTGGACGTTCCAGAGACTAAGACATTGCCATATGGGTGGAACAGATATATCAAGTTCACCATCACACTCGTTGATCAATTTGATACCAGAAACTCAGTATCAGAGGGTATCTTCTCCACTTATCATATTAGTAGCAGTTCGAATTTTAACCTAATGGTCTTGCCATTCACTCAAGGCAAAATTTGTTAAATGGAATTTAGTGATTCTTATCCTTACCCATATTTTTAGTTTCTTTTTAACATCGTACTACAAAGCTTTGTCATTTTTGTGTGCGTCCTCTTGCTTTTAGTTTTTTTCTTTAACTTCTTACTACATAGTTTTGTCATTTTGTTGGGGTGTGTGAATGCGTGGGCGGGCGAACATGCTTGTGTGAGTGCGTGTGCGGGCGAGCAGACATGAGTGTGATTGTTCGTGCATGCATGTAGTCATCGTGAAATTTTGTTTCCATTGGAAGATTGTATTCACTCATGGTGATTTCAAAGCATGCATTTGATGCTTTAAGTTTTAGTGCAAAGTTTAACATATTGGAGAAATTCTAAAATCAGCATATAAGTTTGAGCTTTTGTTCAAAGTATGTTACATGTTTATCCTCTACTAGATAATTTGAGGGAATCATGTGTACTATTAGTTTTATTTGTACCAGCGATATTGCAAGAGGAAAAATCAAAAATAGGACCTCGGGTGCAGCGATAAATGCTTACAAGACCGTCACTTTGTCTCCATGTTCTTGAGTTCTGAATTATGTGTCTCAACTAGCTTTTCCTCTAGGAACATCTGGAAAAGTTCCAACTTCGAACTCCCTCTCCCAGTTTGATAAGGTACAATAAATTAAAATTTTAGTTGTAGTGTAAAAAAGAAAACTATGGGCCAAGTTAAACATATGTCAAATCTATGCTCCAGCTGAAGGTAATTAGTGTTTGAAAGTATACTATATATAGTCAATAGCGTAATTTAGATAAGCTTTCAAGTTTTAATTAGAATGTTTGTCTCACATGTGTTTGAACTGTGTTTCTTACCTGTTCTGTGGATCCATTGGAACTTTTACAATCGAAATGTCCTCTTCTATAGTTTATATGGATACATTAGCATTCATAAATATGTATACTTCTGATTTTACAGAAACGGAACATGTGTTTATGGCAAATACGGCTGACTGGGACTTTGCAACACTTGTTCCTCTAAGTGATCTCCACTGTCTTGATAATGGGTATCTGGTGAATGATGTGTGTATTGTTGAAGTTGAAGCTTCAGTTCCTACCGGTTTTAGGAATTTAGAAGACCAAGAAACCGGTGATCTTATGAATTTTAAGGGTTTAGGGCGAATAGAGAAAAGAGGTCGCACTTGGTGCGATGGCAAGTGCCTTCGCCCATGAGCGGTAGGTCTCGGGTTCGAGACTTGGGAGCAGCCTCTCCATAAATGGGGGTAAGGCTAGCCGACATTCACCTCTCCCAGACCCTGCGTAAAGCGGGAGCCTTGTGCACTGGGTACGACCTTTAGGGCGAATAGAGAAAACTTTTGTTCCAATTCTAGAGGAGGTTTGTTCTTCTTATCCTTCCTTGATTGACGGCCAGATGAAGAGGAGTCGTACCTTTGTTCAATGCGCATTCACAGCTTTGGGCTGAGTCTTGCATTTTCTGAAGACTACAACGGCCAACGATATGAACGTTGATGCTTGTCAACATCTTCAACTGTTGTGGGAGGAGCTTGAGGCCTTCAAATTTGACTTGGCTTGGCTGGAGCCTCATGTTCAATCTGTTATTGCTATGAAGAAAAAGGCAGGAATAGTGAATAGACTGCAAGAAGATGTCGATGCTTTGAAAAACGAAATAGAGAGGCGAAGGGCTATCCTAGCGGAGGCAGAAGCCGTTCTTGAGGTAGCAGAAAGAGATTTGGCAGAGGCACAAGAAGAGCATTTCAGCAAGATAGATATGGATAGTGAGCTAGGCTATCCGTTATCTTAATTCTTAGAGAATTTTCTCTTAGATATAGTCTCTCTGAAAAAGTTATGCAGTAAAACTTGAAGGTTCAACTTTGAAACACTAATCTAGCTCTGGATTTAATTTGTTTCATCCTTTTTGTTTTTCGGTTTAGGTTTCATCTAGTTTTAAGAATACGAAAATTTTGCAATTATGTTATGGGATTACAAAACTTGTTATATTGCTATCATGCTTAATTTCCTTTTCAAGTGTGATTGGTTTTATAAATGTCTTGGCCCATAGATTATGGCTTAACCCAAATAAAATGGGTTGAGCTTGATACTTTTCCATAAAACATTTCTCCATTTATGAGAGCCTTCTGTTCGAATGTTAAGAATGAGTTATCAACTAATTTATTTCCTTTCGCCTTAATATATATATATATATATATATATATATCGTTGTATAAAAAACGTGGTATTTAATGTTAGTTTACTTTAAATATTTTTGGCATACTATGACCAACAAAGTTGAAAAAATACGGAGGCACAAAGAATTGGGCTTTAGGCCCAAATAAAACAGAGTCGAACCTTCTAATATTAATTTCGTCTGATCCGCTTTCCTTTCGACTAATTTGATATTCATTTTTACTTATAAAATGAATATACATAAATATAGGAATAAAATGAGTCTCTAAATTATAGAGACTCGTCGGATATTTGGTATATGTACCCACATATGGGAACTATGTAGAGACTAAAATGGTGGACTCAAAATGACTATTTAAGTGAAAAAGTAGGTGTGGATCCCATTTACATGGCCTTATCTTCTTTTTTTTTTCTTTCTTTTCAACCGTTTAAAATGGAAAGTTTATATTGATTCTTGCTTTTTAAAATTTTTTACCATTGGGATCTTCGGTTCCAATTAAATAACCATTTCAATTGAGATTACTCTCCCATGTTGGTTTTCAATTGTTTTCTTTTCTCTATTCATATTGCATCCGTTAAAAGATTACTAGTTTCAATTTGGGCTACTCTCTCATGTTGTGCTCTCATCATTCCTATAAATACTAAATTATCTAACCACAACTTCATCTCCTATACTCAATTCACTCGTACTCAATTTACTCATTCTAGTTATGTTTTTGTGAAGAAAAAATTTTGAATTTTTTTTTTTGTTAAAATGTTCACAAAAAGATTTTAGGAGAACATAATGTTAAATTAATTAAAAAAAAAGTTAACATAAACAAAAAATGCACACCTAATCAAATTATCACATAAAATTGTAAAAACCTCAAATTTAAGATTGATTCTACCATAAGCACTCTTACATTTGAGACAATATTCCTTCAGGGACACAAAGATTCCCTTTTAAGTCCGTGTATGAGTACTCAAAGATGATGATGAGAGTCTCTAAATAGGGACTCCCATTAGCGATGCTCTCAATATTACAATCTAATGATATTCCTTTTTACTTGTAAATAAGAGGTCTTAGGTTCAAATATCGTGGATGGCAAATTCGATACCAAATTAAGTTGCCCATTATATGACTTAACCGAACTTCCCCACTTCCCCCTCATCTTACTGTAAATAAAACATTGTACAAAAACAAAACAAAACGTATAAGATCTACAAAAATTAAGAAAACCCGAGGTCCATCGAAGTTTAAGATTAAAAACAATCACCAGCTAAGTTGGGCATAATTATATAACTTGACAGGTCGGCATAACATCGATGTAGTCGCAATACAAATCCTCTCCATTGTTTAATTTTAGTGCATAATTATAGTAGTAATACACAAACTGCTAGTAATGAAGTAGTAAAGGGGTTTGAGGCCGCATTGAGTCACTTCTTTCTAAATGCTTTGAATATATTGTCCTTGTAGTATTTGAGTTCTCTGATGCTTTCTCTGATATCGTCCAAGGCTCTGTGTTTATTTTCTTTGGAAGGGGCTTTCTGATTATCTGCTAAACAACCACCATACATATTAAGTAATTAGTCGATACATGTCCCAAGTAAATTCACTCAGGAGTGCAAGTACAACAAAGCTTCCGGGTAAACACTTGTGTTCAATATGCCCGTTTTCTCAGTTCGGATGGCCTAAAGGTGTTGGTAGAGAAAAATTAGAGTGTACCAGGTTATGTAAGAATGATTACCTCTAGGATACCAGCGAATGCATAGAGCTTTAATACTGCTAACATCCACTAATACATGGGAGAAAAGGCTAGCCAAATCCGGCATGTACTTCTGCCAGAAAGAAACCAGTTAAACAACTCCAACCATGCTGATTATATGTATCTAAATAAGGAAAGGTAACAAAATACGGAGGACAAGCGCAGAATCTTCAAAATAAGCAAAACCTTTCATTCTTTTAAGGCAAGGAAAAATAAATGGGCAGCCAAGGGAATAGCAAGAGAGCTTTATCTTCCAGAACAGACACAAAGATGACATTTTCTTTTGGTAAGAAATTGAACAATTAAATTGAATTCAAACATATGCCCTTGTCCAATATTCCAATTCCTCCACAAGCCCCATAAACCTTTTTGTTCCAAAGAAAACACCATGAAACCACAATCCACATGGTCAGGACTACTCTAAATAAATTTTACAAACTACTACTATTTTTTTCCTCTTCGTCCACAACCTCGTTTGCAATCAAACTTACATCTATACTATGGTCCCTCTTTACGAACGCCCCTTGTCTTTTACATCTCCAAAATCCTCCTCATCCCTTTTAATTTCCTCATAAGCTTGTCACCTCCCCATCCCAGACTTGAATCTTCTCATCATTCCACCATTCCTCAAATCACTTTCTCGAGTGGTGTTTCAGATCAAACACAACAGGACAACGATCTGAAGAAATCCTAGTAACTAGTAAGCGCTAATGGCCTCAATGAGGAAATTCCTCTTCCCATTCTACTACATATAAATATCTGTCCAATCTCCCGTGAATGACAGTTTCCATCATTTTTTACAATGTAAATAAGATGTTGTGCAACTCCGGATCATACAAATTTGTTTCCCTTGTAAAATCATTAAAATTCCTCATGCTTCTTGTCACCCTTTTTCCATTAGATTTCTTGTGGAAAATGTCAGACTGCACAATTTATAACTTGATCCTATTGCTTACTCTGGCTCTGCTCTATTATAGCTAGACAACAGTATAACACTGTGCAGCATAACTGAAACCTAATATAGCAAAACCTTGTAGCAGAACTGTAACCTAGAGGGAATGTAAGCATTCATCAGGAACCTGAGGTGTGGACTCCCTTGAAGAGTTTACTCATCATTTTACGTTACACTTTCCCAAGTCCAATATAGATGTTAGTTTACTCATCATTTTACGTTACACTTTCCCAAGTCTAATATAGATGTTTCTAGTTAGAATGGTGTAATCCTTAACTGTAATTTCAAAACTGGAACCACCAATTCTTTTTGGAGATACAACAACAACAACAACTAAGCCTTTTACCACTAGGTGGGGCACAGATTTCAATTTTTGGAGATAAAAAAAATTTAAAAAAAAAAAAAACTGCTATAATTAGGATTCTGATTACGTAGATATCTGGTTTCCTGGTTTGTTTAAGGGTGCAACTTAGTTTCCTAGTAAGTGATTTGGTTCTTATTTAGTTTCCTACTCTGAAGAAGCTTGTGATTACAATCATACCTAATTTGTATTTCTATCCTTATTTTCCCAGAATCCCTACTACTCCAAGCATCCGCTTCCGACATAACAGGAAAACAACCAAATAAGTGAAAAAAATGTCCATTAATGCAGACACAAAACAGATGTGCTGCACAGTGGGGTCCCTCCTTGCATGCTGATCGGCTTATGAAATAATACCAATGTACTACTAATAAAAAAATACATCAAAATTAGTCAACCTCCTATTAGACCTTTATGCAATTCAAGTTAATTATGAATAAAATCCAGGAAAAGTGATTCAAATTACCTTCAAAAACAGAAAATCCACATAAACTGAATTTCCTGCTAAGACAGGTTGATATGTTCCAATGTTTCTCTTTACAAATTCTATGACCTGCAGTATTCAAGTACATATTTAATTGCCCAGAAATATAAAGAAAGAGGTATGTGACGTTAATATCATCAACAATTAAATTTCCTCGAACAGATACAACTAGAACGTACAAAAAGATCACAAATGAAGTGAAAAAAGGATGATTACTTAATAAGTAATGTGTATGTAACAATTAAATTAACTAGTTGTTCATCAAAACAAGGTCGGAGAATTTTCTTATCCAAAACAACTAAGGGAGAGTACAATGGATATCAAATTTGTCTTCTCTATGTAAGGAAATGACCAAAAGTTCCAGGTTGTTTGTTATTTTGACATCGAGAAACTCAGAGGTAGAATTCTTTAAAAATATTTCCATTGAAATTGTTTAAATTTTTTATTCAATCCTATGATTAAACAAGTGTTATTAAAATCACATTGAATATTGATTAAAAGAATACCAGACATCCGACGACAGAACAATAATTAATTATACCAACCAAAACTGAAGGTTCATGAGTGCATCATAGCCTTAATTATACCCTGATGCAAATAATCATGCATTTCCGTTTGTTTCTTTTATTTCTGGTGTCTAGTTATAAGATTTAGTCACAGTTTAGGAGCCATTCGGATTCTGTAATAAAGTAATAATGAATGTGTAGAAATACCAAACGTTGCTTAGGCCCCAATGATAAGAGAAATTCATTGATGCAGTTATAGAGTTCAAAACCTTCTTTTCAGGGAATAGAAGTGTCTAATAGATGATGTAGTTTAAAGAGCTTTTCCCAGGTTCCCCTTCAGAGAAGGAACTATAACTTCTTCCATAATTCCATCTACATTAAGTGGTACCACAGCCACCTTAGGTATGCAATTTCTATGGATTTCTAACTAGAGAAAACCTACACAGTCTACAACAGCACTTTCAACAAAAGCAGCAGATTCTAGAGAAAATTACTCAACTATGCGGAAGGATGGAGCAAGCAGAAATTTTCAGTCTTCCTGCTCATGGTATTAAGTGGCAAAGAGGTCA